TGATCATTCCTGCCCTGTTCATATCCCAGTCTTATCTAAACCCTTCCCAGTAAGTGGATTTTTGGTGGATAACCTTCACCAGGTGAAAGACATTTCATCTGTTGCTAGCTTTTATTCATGTATGAGATTGAGTATCAGCACATGCCTTTTAACACTAAGATTAATGTATTTTAACTCCTTTAATCTACAGATTTTGTGAATTCACTGATAAGCTTTCTAATTTTTTTAAATTTTATTTTATTTTTCAACAGTTTTACTGGAAAGTAATTTAAATATCATATAATTCAATAGTGGAACCATTACATCATATCACGGAGAATTGTACTATCATCCCCACATCAATCTTTTTAATGCTTTACTATTTTTATTTTATATCAATAGTTTTTTGTGAATTTAATATACATGATAGGTGTATGATTTTAAAAGGTTGTTTTTAAAATATGAACATATTTCCTCTTTCTGGCTCTTCTCCCTTTACTTTTTTTGTAGGACTAGGTTCCTGTCTTTTTATTTTATTTTTTAATCATTTTATTAGGGGCTTGTACAACTCTTATCACAATCCATACATCCATCGTGTCAAGCACATTTGCACATCTGCCACAATCAAAATTCTTACAACATTCTCTTTCCATCTGAGCCCCCATACCAGCTAATTTTCCCTTCCCCCATTCCCTCCTTCATGAACCCTTGACAATTTATAAAAAAAATTTTCATGTCTTACACTGACCAACATCCACCTTCACCCACTTTCCTGCTGTCCCTCCCCCTGAGATGGGGTTATATGTAGATCATTGTGACCGGTTCCCCCTTTCTCCCTCATCTTTCCCCTTCCCCTCCTGGTATCACCACTCTCGATATCAGTTCTGAGGGTTTTATCTCTCCTGGATTCCCTGTGTTTCCAGCTCTTATCTGTACCTGTGCACATGCTCTGGTCTAGCTAGATTTGTAAGGTAGAATTGGGATCATGATAGTGGGGACGAGGAATCATTAAAGAACTAGAGGAAAGCTGTGTGTTTCATCAGTGCTATACTGCACCCTGACTCATTCGACACTTCCTTGTGGCCCTTCTGGGGCTTTCTAATTTTTAACCTATCTTCCATTCCTGGTAAAAGCTCTTTTTATAAACAACCTTTTTATAAAATTTTTAATCTGCATTTATAAATGAAAACTAGTTTATATGTAACTTTCATAGTAAGGTAAAGATACACACACCAAATGAAATGAGGGATTGTATGCACATTTTTTTGTTATTTGCTCAAAAGAAAACATACAGAAAAAGATATGCTTGATTTTTTATAAAAAGAAAAATGTATAAGCAAAAAGTGAAAGTTTACAAAAGGGGCAAATGAAATGTTTTAACCTATTCTCCAAATTACCAAATTGTGTTTAGCAATCTAGTCACTGGATCAAGAATCGTTGAAGTGTCCACTCCACAAGTAGTCATTCTCCATATCCCAAAGATTTTATCACTCTACCTTATGGCCTGGGGATGGAATGGACCAGGTCACAATTTTGACAGACTTTTTTGTCTCTAAGCCCTGTTGTATGGTACTCTATTGTCTTAGGTAAATGTCTCTCTCCAGGCACAAATTTCCTCATCTATAAATTAGACATGGTACTATCAATCTGAAGAGGTGTGGCATAAACCAAATGAGATAATACATGTAAAGGAGCTAATGAAATGCTTGTCATCTAAGGCAAGACAATATGAGGGGACACGCCCAAAAAACAGAACTGCGCTGGGTAGAATGGAGCTTTCGAAATATGCATTTTTTCCACTAGGCGAGCATGGAACAACTCGCTCTGAGTTAGTGCACCCAACGGCATCTCCTGGGAAGGTTCTCTCTGGTCAGTGTGAATTTTTTCGTAAAAGCAGTTTCGCTTGAACCTTGGTTGTTGTTGGTTTGTTTATGCCAAATTTAAGAGAACAGTGTGCAGCTGTGGGATGTTGTTTCCTGCTCAGGAAAAATGCCAGAGAAACTGTTGTGATGTTGAACACAGCTTACAAGGACACGCTATGCAAAAACTCAAGTGTACAAGTGATTTTCTCTCATCTCAAAAAAGGTGAAATGTTGATTGATGACAAATCTGATTCTGGATGTCCGTCAACTTTCCAAACAGACAAAAATGTCAACTCGTAGTGCATTTGGATTTTGTTCCACTAGGTCAGACTGTTAATCAAGCTTTCTTTTTAGAGGTTCTGAAAAGATTGCATAACAGTGTACAACAAAAAAAGGCCTGATTTGTGGCAGACAGCACTGGTTTTACCACTACAACAATGCACCTGCTCATGCAGCCATCTCAGTGCTCCGGGTTTTGGCAAAAACCAGCATGCCTCTCTTGCCCCACACACCTTACTCACCTGACCTCACTCCATGTGACTTCTTTTTGTTTCTGAGAATGAAGAGGGACATGTAAGAACAGCGATTTGACAATGTAGAAGAGGTGAAGGAAAAAAAATGAGGGAGGTTCTGTCAGCCGTCCAAACAGATGAGTTTGAAAAATGTTTCCAGGAATGGAATTGCATATTTAACAAATCTATTAAGTGTAATGGAAGAGTAATTTGAAGGTGATAAGGTTGTTTTGTAAAAAAATTTAAAAACATAGCCTTGGGAAAATAAATGGTCTTTATACATATGGGTCAGCAGACAGACCTGGAACTATCTATTAGGGTTTTTTTTCCCCCTTGTTTTGTTTGTTTGCTTTTTGTGTTTCTTTCACCCTATGTCTATCTATATAAGATAGGCAGGACAAACAATCCCGAGGAGAAAACAACGGGACAGGCGGTTCAGTGGGAGCATGGGAGAGGAGGGGGCATAGAGAGAGAGTGGGGAGCAAACAAATTCGGGGATAAGGGAACAACAAGAGACCTAAAACTGATGGTGAGGAGGGTGTATAATGCCTGGTGGGGTTTGATCAAGTGCAATGTATCCGAGAGGAATGACTGGGAGCCGAATGGAGGGTGAGCAGGATAGTGGGACAGGAGGAGGATGAAAGGAAATAGAGGAAAGAAATCAAAGGCAAGAGCTATTTATAGAGGTAGCGCTATAGGCATGTATATATGTAACTATACTAATTTATAATGAAAGGGATGGAGACCAATGTTCATATACTTATATGTTAAGTATTAAGATAGCAGGCTGACTTTGGACCTCAAGGCCTCCCTAACACAAGAACACTTTGTTCTAATAACCTGGCACTCTTTGATACTCACCTTCCCAATATGATTGTTGAAGACAAATGGGTGCATAAGCAAATGTGGCCAAGAGAGCGGATGGTACCCAGCTATCAAAAGATATAGTGTCTGGGGTCTTAAAGGCTTGAAGTTAAAGGAGCAGCCATCCAGCAGGGAAGCAAATAAGACAACATGTAAGAAGCACACCAGTCTGTGTGATCATGAGGTGTCGACGGGATCAGGTTCAGGTATCAAAAGATCCCAAACAAACAATTAGATCATGCAAACAAGGGGTGTTGGAGTGAAGACCCAAAGCCCATCTGTAGACAACTGGATATCCCCGCATAGAAGGGTTATAAGGAAGGGAGGATGCAACCAAGGTGCGGTATAGCACGAACAAAACACACATCATTCCTCTAGTTCCTGAATGCTCCCTTCCCCCACCCACTCCCATAACCCAGTTCTACCTTACAAATCTGGCTAGACCTGAGAACACACATAGGTACTGATAAGAGCTCTGGGTACATGGATTTCAGGACAGATAACCCCCTCAGGAACAGTAGTGGGAGTAGTGATATCATGAGGGTCGGGGGAAGGTCAGGGAGGAGGAGAAACGTGGAACTCATTACAAGGTTGGATATATAGCCGCCGCCCCGCCCCCCCCACCAAAGGGGACAAAGAACAAAAATGTGGGTGAAGGGAAACAACAGACAGATTAAGATATGAAATAATAATAACAATATATAATTGATCAAGGATTCACGAGGGTGACAGGGGATGGGAGGGAGGTGAAAAAAGAAGAGCTTATAACAAGGGCTGAAGCAGAAATGTTTTGGAAATGATGATGGCAACATATGTACAAATATGCTTGGTACAATTTTGTACAGAATGTTGTAAGAGCCCCAATAAAATGATTTTTTATTAAATAAATAAATAAATCCGGTTTGGCCGGGCAGGTGTAGTCCTTCGTATGTTACTGTTATCTGAAAAATATCTTTTCCTTTCTTCCTCTCTGGCATGGCCTTTAAGTGGGCTTTCCAGTCTTGCCTGGCCCATAACTATCTTTTACTCTTTTTGCCATTTAGGCACCACTGTCAAAGCTCACGAAGACAAACATCTGGCCAGGCAATGCACCTGCATATATCCTTCCACCAGCTCCCATCGCCCACCCTACTAGATGAAGTTCCAACCCTCTAGCAGGACTCCTAAGACCCTTTATAATGTGGCTCAACCTGCCATTCTGACCCTACCTTTCTCCACTGGATTCCACACACTTCCCACGCTAGTCCACTGAAACATGTCCACTTCCCACGCTAGTCCACTGAAACATGTCCACTTCCCACGCTAGTCCACTGAAACATGTCCACTTCCCACGCTCGTCCACTGAAACATGTCCACTTCCCACGCTAGTCCACTGAAACATGTCCACTTCCCACGCTAGTCCACCGAAACATGTCCACTTCCCACGCTAGTCCACCGAAATATGTCCACTTCCCACACTAGTCCACTGAAACATGTCCACTTCCCACGCTAGTCCACCAAAACATGTCCACTTCCCACCCTACTCCACTGAAATATGTCCACTTCCCACCCTAGTCCACTGAAACATGTCCACTTCTCACGCTAGTCCACTGAAACATATCCTCTTGATGGAAAACTCTACACTTTCCAACATTCTTCTTTTGCATTTCCCTCTGCTAGTCTATGCAAAACTTCCTATTTAATTTTTAAGGTGCAATTTAATTGGCATTTAAAAAAATATGATGCCCACCACAGAATTAATATGCTCCCACACAGTTTTCTTGACTATATTAAAATTCATTGCTTATGTATCTTTCCCTACTCAGTGAGGGAAAAATGTGTTTATTATTTGTCACATTAAATATCACATATATATTTATCCTAATTATATACATATAATTAGGACATCTGTACAGTCAGCACCTTGATAAATAAAATGGAATTTGCCTTAAAGTATATTCTATTAAACCTTTCAACAAAGCATCTTCTCATTTTAATCAGGCTTTCCTGGTTGTCTTTTTAAAATAGATTTTCTTCAGTGAAACACTACCATGATGAATCCATTCAGCCCTGCTGACTGTGGTGAGGGCTCATGGAGTAATTCTAGAGTCCCCTAACGTTTCTAAGAGTTCTCACTACATCATGCTGGCTGAGAAACCCCTTTGAGACTACTGCTTTCTCTGTTACTTGTGCAGATAACCAGCCATTACCAAGAACCAAAGGTAGTGTTTTATTTTGAAAGAACGTGTCTTTCAGCCCATAGACTTGTTCTCAATGAACAATTTTCTTTGTTCATCGTGGCTCACGTTCAATCATATCGAGCAAATTTTCCATTCCACAATGCAGACACGTATGTTAGAGGTATTGGCTGTACTCCCCTCTATATGAAAGCACTTCCCTCTGCCTCCTCCATTCTATTGGTCCTCCTTTCCAGCCTCTGGCTTTGTGTTGGGGTAAAAGAAGGCCTTTTGGTCTCATCTGGCTAATTGTTCAAGAGTCTGTTCCTCCTGAGGGTTAGTGTTCACTTCACACACCTGCATGTTATTTGGCATCACGGTGATTCCCAAGGGCAGGGTCAGTTCCAGGCTGAGGCAAGTGTAACGCTGTCATCTCAGAGGTAACCCCAGTCCTGATCATATCATAAGTCTGGTCTGTTATGATTTTCAATTTTCTTCTCCATTTTCTCCAGGACACTCTGTGGTCCCGATCAAAGTGGCAGGTAGGGGAGCCAGGTGCCACCTGGCTCTTCTGGAGTCAGGAAACTGTAGTCTACACATTCCAGGAGTCCCGTAAACAAATGGTGTCCTTGAGTCTCTGATTTTCTTCACTCTTCTTTTCTCTGGACAGGGAGAAACCAATAGTTGTTTCTGAGATGAACTTGCTACCTTTGAAGACCCCAGTTACGACTCCCCAGAACACCTGTCTTTACAAACTGTGTTAAGACAATTGACTTGCTATTCCGAGACTGTGGTGCTAGGCCCCAGGCCCAGTAACTCATCCTCACAAAATGTATGGCTCTGCCTTGGAGGTTTTCATCGCTTTGTCCCTTTTACTCTGTTATATAAACCAAACTGGAAAAGTCACCGCCATCGAGTAAATTCTGACTCATGGCGACTCCATAGGCAGGGCAGAACTGCCCCAGTGGGTTTCCAAGGTGTAACTCTTTACAGGGATAGAAATCCTCATTTTTTTACCCCAAGGAGGGCCTGGTGGTTTCAAACCTCGTGGTTAGCAGGCCAACTCAACCCACAACGCCACACAGATATATCTATGATTGGTAGAAAGAATGTCTGCCAAATCCATAGATGGATGTGGCCTTCACTTGCCCATTTCTGTTCAGTTTGCATGTTTACCTATGCATTCACTCATAGATTCTTTTACTACTGATAGTGCAGGATTCTATATGTAATAATAGTATTCACCTTTGTTGTCTCTAACTTGCGTACCTGCCAGTGTCTTTCTTTGCCCTGGCGATAATGTGTGATCGCTCCCTTATTGGACATGTCCTTTCCCCTCATCCAAATTAATAAATGTCTATCATCTACACAGTGATTTCCCCCCCTCATCCCTCCCTCCTCTGGTAACCATCACAGAATAGTTCTTTCTGTGTGACTTTCTGTAGTGATGGTCTCATACGGTATTTGTCCTTCTGCAACTGACTTATTTCACTAAGCATAATGTCCTCCAGGCTCATCTATGTCAAGAGATGTTCCACGGAGTTTTCATAATTCTTTAATGCTGTATAATATTATTTATCCATTCCTGTGTTGATGGGCACTTAGGTTGACTCCACCTCTTTGCTGCTGGGAGTGTTGTGATGAACATGGGTATGTGCATCTATCTGTTCATGTCACAGCCCTTATTTCTCTGGTACATCTAAAGTGGGATTGCTAGATCATACAGTATTTCTATTTTGAACTTGTAATGTTTTCTACAGGGAGTGTACCATTTTACAATCCCACCCACAATTGATGAGGGTTCCAGTCTTTCCACAGGTGACATGGTTAAGGTGTATCAATCTGGCAGAGCCACGAGTAGTTTCGGCAGTTACGATACAGTCATCCCCCATGATGACAGCTGACACAATACAATCACCTCCACGACAAGGTCTGCTTTGAGTAGCCAACCATGGAAAAGGGAATTTCACTGTGGGTGTGTTCTGCTTCCAATGTATGTGGATGTTCTGGCAAAGTGGTCTCGCTTTTTGCTGTGTCTGCCTCCTGCATGTGGCTCATCATGATTTCTGGGTCTTTGGATTGAGCCGAGAGCCTGCCATATTGCCAGCTGATCCTGGGAATTAGCCCCTGCAGCTGCCATCTTATCTGTGGACATGGGATCCATTCGTTTTTGAAGCCACAGCCGGCCATCTGACCTGATGATATTAATTCATCAGCCTCTGCAGCTTCTTGCGTCAGGAAAAGCTGCCGGTCTGACATGTGACCATGGACTTGGAACTTGCCAGCTTCTACACGCACATGAGCCAATTCCTTGAGATGCATGTCTTCACTGGTTGTGCTTCTCTAGAGCCCCTGGCCTAAAACGCCACTTTTGCCAGCCCGTTTTCTGTTTTGTTACTAGTCCTGGGGTGAGCTGTTCTCTCACTGTACTTGAGTTACAGCTACCTCTCTAATAGGTAATGACTGAAAATATTTCTTCATGAGCTTGTCTGCTACTGGAATGTCTTCGTTGGTGAAGTGTCTGGTTGTGCCGCAGTCCATTTTTAATTGCAGTTTGTGTTTGTCACTGAGGTATTGAAAGAATGTTGGCTTTTGTTTGGGGGACAAATTATAGAGATTAGCTATGCCATTGCCATCCCCCACTTCACCCACTCCCGTCTCCAAATACTGGATTTGGTTCAATTAGTTTGCTCCTGAAGGTCAGGAAACACAGCTCAAGAAAAAAGAAAATCATCAAGGTTCTTTGGGACTGAGGTACTAAAACCTCACTAACGTATGCACAATTCTGTTTCCCACGAGGTGGTGTGTATCCCAGATTCCAGACCTAGACAGAGTACTGAAGGGCACAGGAGACCTGAAATCTCTGGTAGATCCCAAGAGTTGCTCTAATTAGAAATTATGGAAGAACCTATGATAGAAACAGAATGATCTTTCTCTTATCATCTTTTAAAATAATCCAACATACAAGCCATCAAAAATATCTATGATTAAAGTACCAATATCCCATTATGACTTTTGAATAGCAATTTCTTTCCTCATAAACAAACATACTGTTTTACAACAAGAAAGGAAGCAATGTGGGACTGTACAAAGAAAAATCATGACAGATATTTTAGCTCAAATAACTGAACATGGTATTAACATTATAAGATTTATTTGTCAACTTCAAAATTAGTGGAACAAAGAGTTTACCACGGGTATGCAAAACGGAAGCCAAGGAGGTCATTACCAGGATGTAACGGGATTAGCTTTGTAGTTTTTGTAATCTTCTTCACAGAAGAACGCAATTTCAGTTTCATTATCTGGAAAACAGAAAACAAAAATTAATGTGAAACTGAAATTTAAACAAGTATGGAATTATTACAATGATTCAATATTTTAGAAGAGCTTTAGATGCCTAAGGTAAGAAGGTTAGCTATTTGTGTGGCTGCACAATATGCTTACTAAATCAAATGCAAGTTTAAGTTGCAGTTACAAGGATTTTAAATTGGTACCATTTGTACAAAACAAACAAACCTAAATCATTAACACAAAAGTTAATGTAAGAAGCTGGTTTTCAGTAATTCACAAAATTGCCATCTTTCATCTCCTTTTCAGTCCTAGAAAACAATAAACGTTGATTTTGTTTCATATTTGCTACTCCAATAGTGAAGAAGGGGGGAACTTTCTCCCCCCTGAAATTACCCTGTAGGTATAATAATTTAATACTTAGAGGATCCGTTGAATATTTTACAGATCACTTTACATTCTCCCTCATGACCCATCAAAATGTGAGTCTGAGGAAGTTAATTTTTGCCCTGCTGCTGATTAATTCATGAGGCTTCAACAATATGCAAAGTGAAAGACACAAATTGGCTTCTCCCGCAATACCTTCAAACACCTCTAATTATTCACAGGGGATACGGTACAGCTAAAGGACCCACAAAGGTTCAGAGCAGTCACGATTCTTTCAACCTGGCAGGTCAAGGACTTCCTCTTCTAAAACAATAAGTCAGCAACATTATTCATTCAGACTGGAGACAAATCTGATGGAAAGCCTTCCAATTATTAAGCATGCAATTCTTTAAGGTGTTACGCCAACAAGTTCCATATTCATTTTTAAAATTAAACGAGAAGTTAATACAGTCAGCTTGGCTTGTACAGGAAGGGCCAAAGGGCCTCAGAATCTCAACAAGAAAACAGACAGGATTATTTGTAATGAATACTGAGCACTCAATTAACATCCACTCCACTCTGAAAACAGACAAGGAAAATGCTTCACCTAAAATAAGCAGGCATCTTAATCGAGGATGCCAAGGATTACCACTGGTTTCTTTGCTTACAGTTCTTAGCTTGTCACTAGAATTTACAACACAAAGAAATGAGCTTAGCATGAGCTTTCATTTAAATTCCTATTTTAAAATAAGAATATCAAAGGTAATGGTTTTCAGCAATAAAATACTCGTGTTCATTATAGAAAATACTGAAACGCAGGAAAAACCACAATAGAATCCCTCACAGTCGTGCATTCTCATTCCAGTCTTACAACATCTTGAAGATTAAATAAGAGCAGATGAGAATCGGTTTGCAAAGTCTTGTCACAGTGGTTTTGTGAGAGAGACACCGCAAAGAGAAGGTGGAATCAATGAGGAGGTGCTGTCCACAGATGCACCCTGGGCAAAGCATTACATGACTTTAAGTTAGAATTTTTATAAGAAAATCACTCTTAGAAAAAGGCCCAGCATTTGAAATCAGCAAAATGCTTAAGGGACCACTTCAAAAAATTCAATAATTGAAGATGTTTGCCATCTTTCCTTTATAAAAAGCTCCTGGGATTTACTCTGTGAAAAGGAGCATGCCCAGAGGTGGATTGATATAATTGGCAAGTGGCTCTAACCTTCTTTCTAACTGAGAATCAGCAAAAGCATCCCTCCCCTTAATAATTACAGAGCCAGGTTTTATCTGGGAGGTTCTATTTACATACAGAATTTTGCATAGTGCTTGGCCCACACAGCACTTTGCTGAGTACATGCTAACTGTAATTACAATTTTCACTTGCTGCAGTTGACATTTCTCCGTATTGCTCTCAAGAAACCAATAGGCAGTGTAGCTCTTCAGTTACCAAATAATAGGCTTCGAGCAAGCTGATGTGAAGAAAGGACTAACAGGGCATTTTATTAGGACACACAGGTTCTCTTGGGTCTAATTAGCTTATAGATGAATCCATTATGTATATAAAGTACTCGTGCCGGCTCTCATCATACAGGATCAAAATGAGATCATCTAGGGTCACGAGTTTCATTTTGGATGATTGTGCTGTCTTTCCAGACAAACCTGCTGGACAAATGAGTGAAATGCAAACACATCGGGTGGGTTGCTTTTTCGCACCTTTAGTAAACTGAAGAAAAACCCACAAATTAAAAATCACTCTGAACACTCAAAAGTAAAATATAAAGGAGATTTCAAACTTTAGTAACATGCTTCTCGAACCGAAATAGAATACAGTGTTTTGTTTTTGTTTTAAAAAATATATAATTTTTTTGGAGAATTTTGAGATGGTTTCTTGTAAACTGATTTTCCAATTTAAGTGGAAACAAATTACAAAAGATTTTCAAGACTGCTACACAATTGCCGTTTTCCACCATTATTCCATGAGTTCCTGCTTCTCAATTTCTTTTTAAAATCTGGCCTGCCAGCATCAACCACTCTTAAAGAGCTCTCTTAGAAGATCTTGGATAGAGCAGGAGAAAAATGTGGAAGAAAATTCAAAATCACACTAAAAAACGCTAGGCTTACAGGTCTGAAAAAGACTGTGTGTGTGTGTGTGTGTGTGTGTGTGTGTGTGTGTGTAGGGGGAGGGGCGGTATCACTGAGACAATGGCTCCTAGTCACCTGTCATACCCCAAACTGAACCCATCCACCGGGCTCAATTTGTAGCCAAGCAACACAGAAGTCTGTAAGGTGAATGATAACACTTGGCAGGTATGTACTCCTTAGATTAATATATCACTTGAGATCAAAACAGCAAACTTTGTCCAAGAACAAAGTTCAGAAGGCAGGAAAAGTGAGGGCGGGCAGAGAAATGAGTGGAAACTGGATGCACACGGTAGAAGTGAACGGAGCCATGTTACATTGCCAGGCTTGTAAGGAAGAAGATGAGACAAAAACCAAGCCAGCCCAACCCACTACTATCAAGTGGACGTCACCTAGCTCACTGTGACCCAGTATGGGACCGAGGAGAGCCGCTCCCTCGCGTTTCTCACATCTTTACAGTAGCAGACAGCCTCACCTTTCTCCCTTGGAACAGCTAGTGCATTGAAAGTGCCGACGGTGTGCTTAGCAGCCCAATACAATACGTAGCCCACTACGCCACCAGGACTCCTTCATGAAACAAAATGTGCATAAATTGTGGAACAGAAAGTTGATTTGCCCTGTAAACATTCACATTTTTAAAAAAGCTTTTAAAAGACTGCATATGTAAAGCACCTAGCTAGTGTTAGGATACACACTATATTTTAATGAATGCTACCTCTCCATGTCTTCCTAGTTGATAAAATTAATAGGGCTGAAGGAGACAATGGCCCTGGAAGAACCCCCAGGAAGGCTGCTATGTGTGGTTATTAGGGCGCCTGATTTTAAATGAGAGGTGCTGCAGGCAGCAGTGCACCCCAGTGCAGAGTGCTGGGCCATGGGAATCTAGAACAAATACTTGCCAGTTCACCCTGTCTTACTTACCAATACAGCTGAGATCCTTCAAATACTGACTTTCAAGTTTAATGGAATGAACATAAGCTAAGACCTTAAAATTTCATAAACTTTAAAATTTTATAAAATTTTATACATTATAAACTATTAATCACTCACATACATAGTAATAATGACTTTAAAGGAATAAAGAATTTTAAAAGCCAATTTTAAATGTAAAAGCTTACTAAAAACCCAGTGCAATACATTTGAATCCTCAACTCATTGCGATGATCTCATCTGTCAACAAATATTGACTGTGTATACTCTCAAGTCTCAGGGCTCATGTTAATCTGTACAGCAGAGCCTGAGACAGGTGCCCTGATAATTAATGCGATATAACATATGTATTAGATATACATGTAGTATAACATATAGTATATATGTGTACTTATATTGTTATATGCACATAATGGGCATGTGTATGTATGTATAAGAATATATAATTATGCCCGTGTAGGTGCTTCAAAAAGTTTGTGGGAAAATAGGAATACAGATGATACAGAATGGAATTTTTCCATGACTTTTGAAGCTCCTCTGTGCATGTGAAGGAAAAAATGTAGTAATTTAAGACTAAAAGGACAAAATGTCCACCTTTCTCCTGCTCAAGAAATATAGACTATACTAAATTTCACAAAATCCTAATCTACAAATCGTTTAGACTATAGTGAGTTTATATTTCTAAGTTTTCTTAGAAGGAGGTCAGCACTTCAGTAAAAAAAAAATCCAAATTGCTGTGCTTGCGATTGCACACTATTTCAGCCCTGCTGGCGGTGTGGAGGTTACTCGGTGGGCTGCAATGGGCATGGCGACAGTTGGAAACCACTAGGAGCCCTGAAGGAGAAAGACCACACTTTCTACTCCCGTACACAGTTACAGTCTCGGAAGCCCACAGGGAGTCGCTGTGGAGTCAGCACTGACTGAGGGCAGTTGAGTTTGTTTGGGGGTTTTGGTTCAGGTGTCTAATTTAGATCATTTGGCAGAGAGGATCTGCTCACCTTCATCAGAATGAGCACTTGCTGTAATTTCCCCGGTGGTGAGGGGAGGTCCAGTAAGGAGGGAAGAACAAGCTCCGGGGGCTCATTCTGACCTCTTATTCTGAAGTCCTCTTATTCCCCAGGACCCAGGCCATACGCCACTGTTCCACTGTTCCCAAGAGGCTCAGCGTCCTCGGCATCCCGTCAGAGGGAGACATCACTACCCAGAAAGGATGGCGAAAGGGCCCCAGTCCCCGCGGAAGTATAAATCACACACCATCATGAGAAAGAAGTGGGAGCCAGTGAATCCTACAATATCACCTCGACGCACGAATTGGACAGGACTCTGATGAACAGCAAGACCGCAGTGACATTCAGAAAACCAAACCTCAAAAGAAGCGAGGAGAGTGCAGCATCTGGCTTTCCCGGCCACGGAGTCCAGGCTGACTCACAGCCGCCCCCTGTGGGTTTCTGAGACTGTAACTATTACGGGAGTGGAAAGCCGTCTTTCTCTCGTGGAGCTACTTCTGGTGGTTTTGAACTGCCTACCAAGTGGATTGCAGCCCAACGCTTAACCACTACACCACCAAGGCTCTCGTGAG